GCTCTGTTGCGCATCCTGGATATTGGCTGCAATGTCAGCACTTGCAAATGACAATATTAAGTAATGGGGCATCCCCCTTCCGACTCAAAACAATGAGGTAGATTCCAAAACCAACATACAGATAATCACAACCAGTTTTTGTCTTCTACAAGATGCGTAGTCAAATGTGACGGATTTGCGTCATCAATCGGATGTGGTGGATCGATTGCCAAAGTTGACATCTTGGATGATAATAATGACCAATAAAGCGATAATGACAGCAATCACGATTCCGACAGTGACTGTAATGGTGGTACACGATAAGTGGTACAACACGATTTAGAAACGTCCATAGCGTGGTGTGCCACTCATTGAAATCAGTGGCGTTTCAGGTTTTAAAGGTACGTTTCAGGTTTTACTCTAAGGAGTGTAAAACCTTACTTAAGTAATTCGAAGGGAATTTTACCCCACTTAAATTCGTAAATAAACTTAAATTCTCCTTCTGATCTGCCAGAGGCACGTGTCGTGTTAAGGCGTCTCAGATCTTGTAAGAAAAGTCAAGCCTTGTTAAGGCGTAGACTTTGAGCACTTTGTGCTGTTGGTTCGTTTGGGCGTAAGGTCCCTTGATCAAGGACCTTTGACTTTTAAGCTTGTTGACTTGTAAAGTCGTATTCTTTATTGGTCTAAGCTGCTCGTTGGGCCGAAAAAATAGCCTTCCTCTGACAAAGGGCGATAGCAGTTCCGCTACAGTGACCGTATGATTGAAGTATAAAAGCAGACAGCGCAGAAGGTATCAAAACCGATCCACGCTCGGTGGATTGGGACAGAAGGGACGATACTAAAGCAAGACATTATTACTGGTTGCACTTGACAAAACATCTAATCGAAGCGTTTAAAGCTTGTCGGTCTGTTGAACGCCTCAGAGAGACGGCATCTCAGTAAAAACGATGATAGTATTGCTTTTGCACTGGGACACGCATACTGGACAATATGGCAAGCCGATTCATGGTAGTGATGTTATGTTGCCTCGGAGCACTTGCAAATTAAGATGTTTTCCCTTTGTATCTCTCTAGAACGATGCACAGCAAGAAGCAATGGATTCGTTACACACTAAGCAAGGCTTACCAAAAGTTGCTTAAGGTGAAGTGCCTACGAGTGCTAAACCAATTAGCAACATGTGGGTCTGGGCGATTAAAACAGACCTGTACGGATCGTGGACCGGTACAGGCACGGACTAGAAAGTGCGGACAAGTGCATCCGCTTGTCAAAGGCCAAGCTTCAGCACCATATCGACGAAGTTCACGATCATTTTTATGGCTACTAAGCTTCTCGTCTCACTGGTCCCTTTTCCCTTGTCCAGGTGTCCTGCCTTAACGTCTCGTCGACTATGTTCGGCAAGGTTAGCAACCATCAGAGATCGACATTCAGTGCTGTGCCCACCTTCACCCCTAGACGAGCTCGACTTATTCACCGCAGAGACTTCAGAGCTCAATGACCAGCAATTACACCAGCTCCGCACTGACGCGCTCATTCCTACCATTTTCGCAATCGTTGTTCATGAACTTCACAGCTTGTCCTGCAACACTGCCCCCACGCCATGAATGAGCAACGTGCTGGCGTACACTATCATGATAGCAATCAACAGCCACTGGACCTGTTTCGACATCTACCAGCGTTCAGTTGACTTTCCCTTTGCTGATACTGCCATCAAGAGCACTTCACCTGCACTATGATCGATTGGCCGCGTCCATTCTGCAAACATGCGCGCAGCTTGCAATGTTCAATAGGTCATCCATCTACGCGGTATGTGGCTCCAGCGAGTGTCTAGCTTCGTGCGGACCCTCCGGAGAAGTCTGATCTTCTCAGGCTTGAGATCCCATCAGATATTCACTCACGGACATGTCTCGCTTTGTGTTTTCTGTTGCAGCAGTTATTGCGCTTGTTTTTTCCTCGCACAACGAGCTAGGATGACATATACGCCCTCTAATTCGACTTGCCATGACTTTTATCTGCGGTCCTCAAGTATCTGTTCAATAGCTCGAGCATGTTGGTCAACGAGTTGCCATGTGCGTACTTCAACATGTTCCAGAGCGGCCGTTTGCATGTCGACAACGTCTTCAAGCACTTCAGTATCGGTAGGCGCAATGAGGGTATTCGCAACCTATGCTAGTACAGCCCGTTATTCTCGAATGCACCGCTTGTTGCAGACACGGGACGATTTCACGTGCCATAAGCCATCTTCATCGATCGAAATGGGCGTCTGACGTGTTGCTAGGAAGTAAGAAAATGTTCGCTGGACAAGTTTGCATCAATCCGGGTCGTCTCATATACGAGTCGATCTACACTTTCTTCTTGATGTTGCACCACGTGAAAAAGCCGTCAATGAACAAACCCGCAATCGCTCGAATAGCTGCTCATCGACTGGCAGTTTCCATGACAATCGAGCATATCTATTCCATCAACAGACACAAGGCACCTGTCAAGTCCAAAAGCGCTAGTGCATCTTTCTTTTGAGCCTTCTATCAATCCTACTCATACGGACACATGTAACTTTCCGCGATCATTCTACGAACGCTGGTATGTTCACGCCACGCGCCATCTTGCTCAATATCCTGTCGCTCACAGCAACGCTAGCCAAATGCATGTTTGTTCCGCCACGTCTGTATTTGACGTATACGCTTTTCTACAAGAAATCGTGCCTAGCAGTAGGCTTAGACACTTTTTTACCTTGTTGGCTGCACGTTGATCAAGTCGAAGCAGGAGACGACAGAGAGATACGACACAGGGCATCTTCACCAGCAATGACACCCACCAAGTACAACAGCCTGCAAGCACGACAACCACCAAGCACAACAGCCAAAAAACACGCTAACAAACAAGCAAGACGGAATAGAAGCACAAATTGATGCTCTTCGTGACATAGCTTCTCAAAGCGTCCAAGTTGCTGTTGCTGATCCGTAGAACTCCGTCGGCCCTTGAACTTGTTATTGCCACTTGTCCCACTGTTTCCATTGTCATATTGCTTGATGCGGAGTGGAAATGGATCTACGCACGTAGCCTTTGTTGTGATCTTCTTGTGCTCTAGAGACCGCACTATTGATGGAATAAGCGCTAACTGCAAGCTGCATTGACATTGATATCCAAGCTGATACAGTTTTTTGTCTTTCAAAGAGACAAAAACTGGTCAGGAGGACCTTATTGTCGAGCACGCTACAATCTCAGAACTACTGATTCTCGCAGTGGCTTCGATTTTTATCTACAATAGAGCTGAGAACATAGGCTTTCGATTTGGAAAGGCACGAGGATAACCACGACTGCAGGGTACTTCCAGCATGACCGCACGTGCGTTTCGCACATCGAGAAAGATGTTTGATCGATGAGAGTGTGCTAAATGTAAGCTGTTTGTTGCGGTAGGATGAAGGCCGACTGGTTAGTTGTGCAAATACGTGTAGACGAAGTTTGCAGGAAGCCTTGAGAACGAGTGCATCACGTAGATAGTGTAGACATGTATATCGAAAGTGACCGCACAGACGGCGTGTGTACACCAAGACACCGCTGCTTCGATACAACAAGTTTTTGGTTTGTTGAAAGTGAGGTACATTGAGGAACGTGATCGACCAGCAATACCCAGTCCATATGGGCTCGATAGTGGGTTGCACTATCTAGTGCAGCTACTTGTTGAAGATTAAAGTGCAACAGCACGAAGATCAGTTCACTTGTCAGCAGTTGTATTGCTGCAGAAGCCCTGGTATGGGCAGTCTGCAAGGGGCGGGTGTACGGTCGACAGGCGAGCGACGCCGAGTGACGTCTCGAGCCAACGATTGACGTCGTGCGAGATGTGATTGTCGATGTTCAAGGCAATGGCCCGAGTGGTTGGTGCGTTAATTTGCAGCTATGCCTTGGTATCCATCGCGATGTTTGCAGCAAGGTCGACCATCTTGTTATATTGCCGGAAATGGTGAGCCCAGCTGGCGACTGAGACGGCGTCCGCGAGAGCTCGCGCTTTGCGGTATAGTGAGGCCAAGCTCGGCTTGCGTGGTGAGCGATACAGTCGGAGTTGATCGAGTACCATGGCGCTATCTCCAATGACATACAGTGGTGTGAATTCGCTGTAGTGTGCCTGATGTTGTCCATGGATGAGGTCATGATATTTGGCCATCTTGTTTGTAGTTGTATGCGACCCGAGTGACATACTCGCCATCCAAACGACGTTAGACAAACGACGGGACACGAACGACGACGGGTCTGGAGCCACCTGGCCCGGGGTCGCTTTGCGAACCACCATCGAAGAATAGTAGAAACAGGTCCCGTGGGGAAGCCGGCAATACAGGCGACAACAGCAGTGGGGACTCAGTGTGCTACAGAAACGCATCGGCCAATGCTGAGTGCACTCGCGCCAGCACGTATTCTTGGTTTCCGCCACCGGGTTGGTATGTCGACCCCGCGGATAATTGATAGCGCCCTGCGCAAACCAGATTGGGCAATTGCATAATGGTTCTCTACTGCTATTGTTGGGTCGTCGATCTGTCTAAGCCGTTCAAACCATATCGCGTGACACGTGACCGAGACTAGAAAGCGCCATCGCTCGTTTTGAGCTTCATAGCAAACTTCGCGAGCTTCCAATGTCCTATCACCCGCGGCTAGAGAAGCTATAGCAATGTCCCACGCACTCTCCGGGGTTTGCGGGAGCGCTAGTGAATAATGGTATGCGGTAAACCAGCCTTAGGTAGTCGACCAAGTGTGCCTTATACATCGCAAATGCAGCGCCATCGTCGCTTGGCTATGGGGTACTCCCAGAAGAGGTGAGTAACAGGAGCAAAGTCACTTGAAGAGCATTCGGGGGACGGGTTTTCGCTACAACAAGACTGTTTTACGCCTTCTCTCTACTGGCGATAGGATCAAGCAATGCGAAAGTAAAGTCAATGTATTTACTTTTTATTCTGGCTGCATTCCAACAACTCCTGAACGCGCGTCGCGGCAATCGATGACTAGCTGGTTATTGAACAACTGCCCTTCACCCACTAACCTTTACAACTTTTTTTGTTTTTGCCGAGGTTTTGGAGATGTCCTTGCTCGATTTTGGCCAAAAGAATAGCCGCCTTAGCGTCATCGTTCTTGGAATAGAGGGACTGCAAGTCCTTCCGTTTAAAAGGGCCTCGAACATCAGCAAATTCTAAGGTAAAGGCTTTGTAGGCGCGATGGACAGGATCACCTTTCGGTAAAGCGGCGATTGAACCACCAGAGGGAAGAAAGATACGTTGAAAGTCTCGGAGAAGCAGACGTTCGTTGGCCACGAGCATATTCTGAAAGCGAAGAGGCTGCACCGGTTCAGCATAGCGTTTCAATGCAGGACGATTCATCATCCTGGCAAAGGTTTCTGCTAATGCCGCCTCATCTTTCACGATAGGATACTTCAGAAGTTGTGCCGCTTTGTTCATGGGAAAGTCCTTGTAGTAATTCACTCGATAATTCGCGAGGTATTCAAACCACTTGAAGATTCCATCTTTCCTGGAATGAAGCGTCTCTAACGCCTTTTCTGGACTCGTCCCCAGCTTCAGCAACTTCGTAATTTCATCGTCAGGCGTATGGTCTGCGTTTGGCTTGACAAGCGGTCTGCCATGGGCTTCGGTCGGCTTGACAGGCTGTTTTTGAGGACGACGAGATCGGAATAAGCGGATAAAGCGCAGCAGCTTTTCGATTCCTCGACTTAGCGGTCCAAATATTCTGTCAAGCAGAGGGCCTCTAGCCTCCTTGCTCCGGTCCTTCAGCGCACGTGTGTAGACAGCTGCATCGTCGATCTTCGACGATTCCCCCGCCGTGGGCGCAGAGGTTTCGGGACGACGGGCGTCGCTCGGATCGAGGGCGGCGACGTGAGTCAGGACGCCGTTTACAACGAAGAAGACCAAGAACAGCAGGCCGTGAATACGCATGCTGACGTTCTGCACTTGACAAGAGATTTTGCAGAATGAAGAACGAGACCAACTGTCTCGTTGGCGAGCGCACGTGGCCCCTATCTCATCGGCTTTGCAAGGGCTGACCCTGATGCCACGACATCGAGCCCAAGAACAGTACACTGCTGATGATAAGGGTTGAATCCAAGGACGTAGCCCACGACAGACGGCCGGCTCTCTCGTTGTGAGAGAGTTTTTCGGCACGCCACAGCGCGGTAGAATACACGCAGGGACCGAATAAGGCACTGCACTGCACAGCCGAGCCACGATCCGCCTACCCCAAGAGTTGGCTGTCGTGTCTCCCTTGATCGTTCCTTCATAGTAGTCCTTCTTGGCCGAATCCTCGTCATAGTGCACCTTGTGCGATATTCGTCAGTTCTCACCCTCCGCAGCCATGAGGCACTACCGCTCGAACGCGACAAGTCCAGCGCCCACACACAGGGGGAAGGAAGAGCGTGTCAAACAGGGCTTCAAGTGCACAAAAGCAGCACTCGAGACGAACGGCTTCTTTACGATTTACCCCTGGATTCATCAAATCTCCACCCCAGGCTTGCTTTTCTTCGTGTCGTCTTGATGGTTCTATGGTGTGTGAAGGCACATGAATGCCCGTATCGCTGCCAAGAAACGAGAGACGCGAAACTCGCAACGTTTTGTCGCAGAAGCTCGCCAGCATCTGCCAACACGAGCGCTAGCAGCACTCCGATCCCTGCGACTTTTGAGGATGCCTGCCTCAAACCTTATGCACCGCGAAAGGCAATGCTTGGAAGCTCAGTCTTAGACTATCGATTTGCGATAGCCCATCGCAGGACTAGGAAGAAAAGTCCGACAAATTTGCTTGACAGCCATACCAGATCGGCGTCGTGCTCTTGTAGTGACAAGTACGACCTGTCTGAGAGGAAGTGAGCCAACGGTACCGCCGCTTCTACGTCGATAACCTGGAGCGATTGGAATCAGAGATTGGGCTCTCACAGCTGCACACTCGGAACGAGCACGCGGTAGGGGGTGCTCTGAAAAGGTCGAAAAGAGCTGCTCCTCAAGAAGGCGCGCGCACGACCATCACAGTGTGTGTTGCTTCCCTCGCCCAAGCACGAACACAGCAACCGTTTCTGCGTGCTTGCTGCATAGATTGATCGGAGATACGTTAGGCTCGCGTGCGCGCAAACTCGTTCTGCCCTTGTCCTATTGATTGGTAGCCTCTTTGACAACCGCAATGCACAATTGCACAACAGCTCACATGAGCAGTGGTAGCCAAGTTGCCGAAGGCGGTCGTTGAACCCGTAGACACGACAGAGCAACAATTTTACTCTTGTGCTTGTGTGTGGAAGCTACGAGCAAGCTGTACGAGTTTGCTGGACCGATCGGACCACTCATTCCCGCGGTCCATGGCGATCGACGCGCTGAAGAGGAGCTTAGTACAGTAGATTCCTATTAGCTAAAGGAATCGGGTGGATAAAAAATAGGTAGTAGAGGATATTAGGTAGGAGGGGCTGGTGGGTAGTCACGTGATCTACATCCAATTGTACAGTATGTCGGAGTCCATGGTATGCACGTTGGGCCGAAATTTTGTCATTAACTACAAGAGATTACTAGCTAATATGGGATTCGCTAAGAGGGGCTCGACTGTAGAAGACTTGAAGAGGGTTTGAACTTTGGGCAACACGACGACAAATCGCGAAAGAAAATGGTGACTTTGTGTCGTGGCAGTAGTGACTAGAGCACCAAAGTGGGTATCGCAATATTCCGAAATCTCGTAAACGTCAGCTTGCAATTACGACGTCGTCGTGCGAGACCGGAAGTGATTTGGTGTCACTACAATCAGGCCGAGCTCTTGGTGCACGAGTTTTGCCGAGCACGATGTCGACATGGGTTGGTTTCGATTTCAGTATCACGACTTCAGTGACCAGTGTTCGAGCGAGGACATCTTGCAGGCGCAGGACTATCAACACACGTCCTTCTTTCGCTCCATCTCACTATTGTATCGATTTGTGGCGTTGAAACGCAACTCCTTCACCATACCACGTGGCGTTCGATACTCCACCTAGCAGCTAAAGTGTTTGGAAGACTTGCAAGATTCATATTACTACAGTATTCCGTCAGGCGCGGACGAACTAGACCGTAGCTACCCATGCTCTGAGCAGAGCGGCGTTTGCGCACGCGGCGGTACGGCTGAATTGCTACTCGCATCTCAGGCGTTGTTGACGTTGTTCTGGTTGCTGTTTAAAATTGGGAAATAATAGTATTAGGGGTACTTATAGGGGGTACTGGATAATGAGAGTAACAGATAGTCTATTTTAAAACACGACGGCCCGCGATTTGGTGGGGGTACCGGATAACGAGAGTGGAAGTCATAAGCAAGGCTGTGTGCTGACACAAAAGAGGCCTTCATTACGGAGGGGTGTGTACGTAGCAAAGATTATTATATGGCATTTATGTGAATATCTGTGCAGTACCTAGTTGGGGAGGCTACGGTACTTATGGAGGGCCTCTATTTCAGGGGTGGGTGTACGTATCATGGGTGGGTGTGTACCTATAAATCTCCAATATTATTTACTATTATTTCTCCTAATTGTGTTTTCATGCAACGGGCTACCCCGTTACAGTAACAGTCTTTCGGTCGTCCCTGCCATCGTTCTGCTCCAAGTTATTGTATGTGCGTGCTTCGTACGTAATAGCATATAGTGTACTCTGTTAATTATCACGCAAGTACTGTCCCTTTACGTGTCCAGTCGTCAACAAAACACCTCAGATTTCGTGCTGGTGACTGACTGACTGACTGACTGACTATAGTACTGCACTAAGCAATAACGGGAGCACCAACCAGATATGGAGCGTGTTTTACCGCGCCGATAATCTAGCGAATGTCGATGGTCTTGCACCTGTTCATCGTTTACGCTGCTGACCATTGCCTATATTCGTCGTGCTAGCGCCGCAGACAAGCACCCTCTCTGAAGATTGATATTGACCAAACTCTTGACTCGATCAACGATGACTTCGCCTTGCAACGTCCTTCTTTCCACGTCTCAATTACAGCATCACGGGAGGTAGCTTGGCATGATCAACGCCACACGCTAGATACAACTGGCGAATCGCTAACCAGTGCTTCGACGATGCATCACTTCAATTGCATTCATTCACGCCGGTGTATTTCGCTGTCATGCGCTTAGTCCTTACTTCCTGCACACATCAATGTATTGAACGAAGGAGACATTCTTCACGCGCTGGTACAAGTCCATGACAATCCGTTCCGTGTGCTTACAGGTAGGCCGCTTTTTATGCTCCTGCTTTTTTAATGATGCACTCACCACTCACGTCAGGCGATTGAGCCCAGTTTCGTGAAAAGCAGTTTCATAAAGAACAATTTTGAAGTGTCATTCGGCACATGACTCCCCTCAAGAAGATTGTTCAGCCAAAAACAGCACGAATTTCTTGCACTTGTCTAGGCGAAGACTTCGGTGATCCCGACCCGATTAATAGTACTGGGGGACCTGCCCGTTGTTTCAGGTACGAGCTAGAGCTCCTCGGACGGTGTATCTTCAACTGCTACTTTTGGCCGAATGCATTCTTCAATTGCGCTGACAGATGTGAAACAGATCTCAAAGACTTTGGAATACCGGACTACTTGATCTCTGTTTAGCATTTCCACCCGCGTCATGAAGAAAGCTACCTCATACTCGACCCATTTGCTTTGTGTGAAGCGTGGTGGATGTCACACCGTGCATTGCGACTTCGGTAAGATTTTACTGTCAGTAGCATTCTCGAGATGTATGACATAGTAAGCGCGTCACACAATGCATATTGATTCATATGCCAACGAACCAGCCGCACCCTCTTCTTTCAATCCGATTGCTGGTCGAGGAATCTACTTTTCGATACACCTATTCATTCTGCCTAATAGCGACTTCGACGATTCCTTATACATTGGGAAACCCGTATACAGCAATACCAGTCGGTTCACCTAAAACAAATACGTCGCCAGAGCTCCGCTGATGGCTGTAGCCACCAGCGTGGACACGACGTTCACCTGCTCGTTACTCAGCCACTTGCGTCCACAGATATGCTCGACATGTGGTGCGTCATCGCAGATCTTGCGCGTCACTCGATCAAAGTGTGTAGCTTGCACCGTCGCGCCAAGGATTGAATCCAGCATGGAGCCAAAGAGACCGGTCACGACGCCCAGCGTGACGACTTGGGGTTGCGCCGTGCGGGACAAGAGGCTCGCAGCGTAGTACAGAGCTCCGATAAAAGCTCCTCCTAGTGCTGACACAGCAAGTCCCAGCACAGACACGCCACCGTTAGTACCACGCGGTACCCGCTTCCCTGTCGTAATAAGTCTCGGCTCGCTCTTGCTCAGCACGCCGAGCTCCGAGGCCCACGTGTCAGCCGCGCAGCAGGCGTAGTGACCAATGTAGCTGGCCAAAACAAAGCTTCGCTCTGGAGCGGTCTGGAAATCAATGCTCACGTCGTCGTGTCCGAATCGGACGACAGTGTAGACGGCAAGGAGGGTGGCCACGAGACTGCATGCCAGCACCTGTCGAGCCGAACGCTGGCCGCCTGGCTTGTAATTGGCGTCCAGCTGCTGTTTGAACCTAGCCCGCACCTTGGTAAGCTTGCTACCAGAAAAGTAGAAGCCCAAGAGCAGGACACCTGCAATGGGTTACAACGAGGAAGACGGTCGTGAGAAGTCCAGACGGAGGGAACGATTGGTGAACGTGGCGGAAGTACCAAAGCGATAGCCGGACGCGAGCGTGAAGAAACCGACAAAACAAGCAGCAGCTGCGCCTGACACGTCCAGCGACTGCTTCTTGAGACCGCGGTAACCGAGAAACCCAGCGAGCAGAGCTGCGACTACCACTCGCAACATAGGCACCAGCATCCTTACGACGACTTGATAGATTGGTAGGCACAATCTTGAGATACAAAGACTGAGGGGCTTTACAAACACATATTCTGGTCTCTCACAACACATTTACGCCGTGTGGGTGAACCAGTTTTCTGTTGAGGCGCAAGGTGCCGCATGATACTATAGAACTGTTTGGTTGGGCCTGCAATCATTTTTTGAACACCAGAGCATTTCGCAAACGAGTGGAATCGACCAATATTTGACCTGATTTGCGCTCAATCAGGTACACATTCTGATTCTACAGCTTAGCCGAAACTACGTAGTTGTCGCCAGATTTAGCTACCTTCATGCGCTCTTGCAGCGAGCTCTGGAACAAGGCTCTTGCGCGTTTCAGAATTGTTGTCGGTAAAAGATGCCGTCCACATCCGTCCTTTCACATTCTTTTAGCGGGCGCTCGAATCGCAAAAGAGTGAAGTACGCCTTTTTGATGAATTTTTTTGATATTACTAAGACCTGATGCAAACCCTTGCGCCCCATTTCGCTAGCTTATCCGGACCTTCCATGAAGCAAGCCCTATTTTGACTTACAGCCACCACCACATTGGAAACAGCTTAGCAGAAAAGAACAGGCTATTGACACCGCAAACAGCATAACTGTGTACCAGTAATGTCGATCATGTTCTTCATACACGTGTGCGGATGACGCAAGACGGTCTTTGCCAGAAGCGCAAGAACACTCACTCCAAGGATCAAACCTGTCCAATGGCTTCCCCCACGACAACGTGCGTGGAGTCATACGACCGGGACCTGTCCGGTAAGGATCCCAGCCACCGCCGGAAGGAGAGCGAGTGAGCACCGTTTGGCATATTTGAAAAAAAAGATCTTGCGGAGGGTGGCTACACTGCGCTCACGTCGGACAAGTCTCGTGATACGCGAGTGCAGTAGACAACTAGCGATCGCATTGTAAACAATACTGCTGATCGTCGTCCATATACGTTGCTGCTCTTACGTGCAGACCGAGCAGCGGTGCAGTCGAAATGCGCCAGGAGGCAGTACAACATACGCATCATTACTATCAAATCCCGAATGCAGTCAGAACCCAAGTGGACGATGCGAATGAAACCTTAAAAGACGAGGTAGTAAGTATTGCAGCAGCGCGTGACACCAATGGAAGAACGCTACGTATAAACTCCACTTTTCCTCCTTCTTCTTGTTCGCACGCAACGTCATGCCATAATGTTACCAAACAGCAGCGGCCTCCAGCACCCTCCGAGCTTTCATAGCGACGAGTATGTCCCTACTACCTCATTGAACCTTGGGCGTTACACCTCCACGGGCTTGCCCTTGGACGCAAAGTTGTCGTAATACTCGACGACCTTGTCCCAGTTGGCCACGTTCCAGAACGCCGAGATGTACTCGGGACGACGGTTCTGGTACTTGAGGTAGTACGCATGTTCCCACACATCGAGTCCCAGAATCGGAATGAGCGGCTGGTCCACGCTGGGCATCAGCGGATTGTCCTGGTTGGGGGTCGACGTGATCGCTAGCTTGCCGTCGGCCTTGACACCGAGCCAGGCCCAACCCGAGCCAAAGCGCGACGACGCCGCCGCGTTAAACTCTTGCTTGAGCTGGTCCAACGAGCCAAAGTCTTCGTCGATGCGGGTCTTGAGTGCGCCGTGTGGGGCCGTGTTCGACGAGCCGGGCGCTGTCATCCACGTCCAGAAGAGCGAGTGGTTGTAGTGACCGCCGCCATTGTTGCGCACGGGCGCCTCCGTGGCCGACTGCACGACTTCAAGGATCGACTTGCCCTGGAGAGCAGCGCCTTGGTCGGATGCAATGTACTTGTTAATGTTGTTCACGTACGCCTGGTGGTGTTTGGTGTGGTGGATGTTCATCGTGTCCGTGTCGACAAACGGCTCCAGCGCGTTGTACGCATACGAGATCTTGGGCAGCTCGAACGACATGTTGGCGTGATCAAAAGTGTAGCGGTGAAGGGCGTGTGAATGTGCTGTGGTGTGTCTTGGACCAGGCGAATTGTCGAATGAGGGACTGCGAAGCGATGATGATGAAATCGGATACGGGGATCGAAGGATCCGACCAGTAGGATACAATCTTTGGGTGGGTTGCGCTCCAGTATGTGGAGTTTCGACCAATGGGATGTCCGTCGTCGTTGAACTGTTCGACGTCGTCATCGGTTGACAGTCCTGTGGCTCTTTTCTGGCTTGAGGCGGTTATATACCGCTGGTGATCGGTATTCGCTTGCGTAGTATCGTTGTGCACCTCCTTTTGACTGGAGCTCCTGCGCATCGACCGAACCGACGCAGCCGAAGCTTTAGCATGGACGTGCGGCAGGCAGAGACAACGACGCTGACACTTGAGCCCGTATCGGACTTGGCAGTTGCAGCGCAGTATGCAGATGCTGAGCTGCACTCGGTGGCAGCGCAATTTGAGAGCTCAGCGAGCGTGAGCGAAGCGCTGAAACAGACAGCCACTGCGCCTACTGTGATCAAGGACGTTTCGGACGATGCGAGCGATAGCTCGGACAAGGAAGACGACGTGCTGGCTGAGCAAAAGACTACCGATACTACCAAGGAGCACGCAAGTGACGCGGTGGAGGAGAGCTCAAGTGATGAAGAGGATGAGGACCCTGCCGTATTACGGGCAGAAATTGAAGCGGCTTTGACGAAAGAAGAGAACAAGATGAGTGTGCCGCTGAAGACGGAGCATGAGGTTGAGGCAGTGCCGGTGCGGACGCCAGGAGTGGAACTGACGGCGGATTGCCCCATTGCTCAGTGTGGCGTAATCTTGAACGTGAGTGTACCTGGTCTTATGATGACCATCAAGTCGACGTCAAACATGAGCTTGCTCGATGAAGGGAGCGTCCTGTGTCTTGAAGACCGTACGGTCCTCGGGTGTGTCGACGAAGTCTTTGGTCCAGTGCTGATGCCCATGTACCTCGTCCGGTACGAGACTGCGGCCAAGATGCCCGAGAAAGCGACAAAAGATGCTACAGTTTACTACGCGACAGAGCACACGACGTATCTGGACCCCGAGACGATCAAGGACAAAGGCACAGATGCTTCGAACCTTTTTGACGAAGAGGCTGATGACACTGAGTTTTCAGATGACGAGGCCGAGGCGACTTCGAAGCGAGGGAATCGAAAGCGCAACCGCGGTACTGCACAAGCCACTGGAATTGCAGTTGTTGAACCTTCCGGTGAACGGGGCAGCCGAGGTGGACGTGGGGGAAACTTTGCTGACTATCAAGCGCGACAAAATGCTTCGCCTCACGGGCATTGTGGCAGCTATGGGCAGCAGGCGCCAGTGGTCGTGAAGCCTGGCGTGCCTCCTTTTCCCGCGATGCAGACCCAGCCTCACGGTGGTGTAACGAAGTATACGCAGCCAGGCGGTTTCGGCGGTGCCAGGCCGCCAGCAGTGTATGGGCAAACGAAGTACACGGCTCCGCAAGGCAACGGGATGCCCCGGTCTCCTCTGCATGTGTACCATGGACAGGGCTTGCCACAGAGACAGCAAGCGCTACCTCGTGGCTACTATCAGCTGCCTCCTCCATCGCAGTACAGTGCCCACATTATGCCTGCATTTCTCCCGCAGGCTCAGCCCGCTCATGGTCCGTACCAGCAGTATCCTCAGCCACCGATCGCGGGGTACATGCAGCCGCACCAAACACATGGCGTGCCTTACGGTCAGCCTCATCCTCCAAGGTACAGCCAACCGCCACCTCCACCGCCACCTGCATTTTACGAAGCAAATGGCCAGCAGCAGCTTCCACCACCGCCGCCGCCGCTCGGACAGCCCTATGGTCGGCGGCGTTATTAGTCGAGGTGTGGATGCTGAAGCTGTTGCGTTTATTCTGCACTCCTTTATCGGCTCTTTTGGAATAAACACTAGACTCGATACGAGCAGGTGCTTCACGGACGTAGTCAGCACTCTTCGCAATCTCACACATGGACTAAGCAAATATATAGTACCTGGTATCTACCTCGTGGATGTGAGGGTGACACTTGCAATGAGGCCGTTCCTCATCACTTCGAAGATGCAGCCTGGTGTAGGTGAGTAACACAAGCTTGAGCCAAACGGGTGAAGGCCCAATCCGTTGTCGTGGATGATAGGTCGCAGGTCCGATTCTCTTTCGAACATCAAGCGGATGTCCTTCCACTATATGCACAATACCGCTTTGTTATGCAATACGCCATTTTCCCGGAGCAATCATATGTAGTGTACCGGTGTTTGAGGTGTGATCTCGAAGCTTGCTGGCTCAGAAAAGCCACGATCCTGGAGTAGAGCAGAGGACTGTACGCTGAGCCTGAAGTTGCACTTGTTGTAGGCGCCGAAATCAGGGTGCCTATTGTATGAAGAAGGCAACCGAGAATGAGCAGCGCGAGGGTCAAGAACTAGACCTTACAAACGCCTTACCCCAGTGCGTTCGTCTTTAATATGACTTTCAGCGCCCGATGCATCGAGTCGTACATAATGTCCAGTCCCAAGTGAGGGTAGTTATGGAAGTAGTCGCTGACTAGACCACCAGCGATGGTAGATCTGCGCAAGAGAGTAGCAAACTTAGCACCTTCTGTATACATTTGGTCGACAGAACAAAACAGCAGTACCCATCATCTGGGTCTTCTGCTTTTCGAAAGACAGAGACCGGGGCGCCAAGCTCGCTTATCACCTCCTGCAAATGCATCAAAATAGTGTAACTGCCCGCGGTATGCGTGTCAAATGTGACATCAGCTATCGTACCTGAGGCGACCACCCAAGCTGAATACGCTGCTTTCGGCCAGTAAAAAGAAGCGACGTGTGCTCTTTGCTAACCTCTGCGTCGATTTCTTCAAAGTAGTGTCTAAAATAGACAGCACTGTGAGCACTCATCTCCAACATGTAAAATGCTGGCTCTACAAATCGTACTTTTTTGTTGGCGTCGGAAGTCCAGGAGATTGATAATTGCCACCCACAAACACCATGAGTCCGGTAGCTGCTGGAGTGGCACCATTCTTCGGTGGACACGCGTTTTGCATTTGAGTTTATCACAAATCGATGGAAAATCGACGCGGAAAAGCCGTACCGGAAACTCAATCGGCAAGTCCGTGCCGTTCTGGTATAAATCGCGAAACTCAGCTGGGATTGGAAATTTAACACAGCCACCCTCATATCCCAATACGTAGCACTGCGTCACGACAAAAAGCGGTACGTAAGATCCAAGAGCAATCAATATAATGTGCTACATAGGGCGCCACAAAAAAGAATCCAACCTGCTCAGCAGCATCGTATTGGCCAGGGAACGTAGGCCCGAACAACTGCAGCATTTGAGCCATCGCACATCACCAGGGTTACGATAATAACTGTTGATAGCATGTACGCATGACGTGAACGCCCTATCCGCGTACATTGTAGACGGACATGAAGGTGGCAGCAATATCACCGCCAAAGATCACCACGCGGCCAAATTTCAGGGCCACGCAATTCACATCGTAAAATTCGATCAACTTGAGTATCTGTCGCACAGGATCAAAGTATAACTAGTACAAGTAGGTATTAATGTAAAACAGGTCGTTTTCAGTAAGTATACGTCACAATTCATCGATAAAAAAGCGACTCTTCTTAACTCGAAATCCGTCTGCGGGAGAATCCACGACTACGTCGCATTTGTAGGGGTCGACAGCGTCATACGAGATCTCGAACGGACGAACAGGAAGGCGTCCTTTGAGTGCGTGTAGCACCTCAGCGATACAAGCACCGAGACGGAAGGGTCCAACGCCTACGCCCAACTCGATGCGCCACATTTCGCGGATCATGTTCACAACTGAATAGTTTGGCAGTTATTGCGTTATTGTCAAAGTTTTTGTACGATTGTGGGACTCGTCCAGTGTGGCCGTCACTTCAATGTAACGTAGCAACGAAAATAAGTCATTGCAACGAGTATGCTACATGGCAGGCTTCGAGCTACAGTAGAGTCTGACTAAATTAATATTTGAGAGACCAGCGACAACAAACACTTAAGCCTCACTAAATTCATATTCGAGCGACCACCTCTTGCATAAGCTTATAGCCTGTATAAATTGAGCAAGAGATGGTAATATATAACACGCCAGGCCACATACATACTGTACCCACATCGCCGACATCATTCACCCAATACTTACACATTAACAGCCCTACTCTTACCAGAGCGCACCATGATAACGAATCGTAACTGCATCGCTACTGTACTACCACTACTACTACTGGTATAACAACTGCTACTACCACCACAACTGCTAGAAACTGCTCTACTACTACCATACTTCTCGAAGCTTACTAGACTGAAATCGAGAAACGTACATTGATGCAAAAGTTATGGCGATATCATCAATGCTTATGTAAGTGCGAAGTAGCTTGATAGAGGGAGCCTCATTAAGTGGCGTAAGTGTACCGGGACCATGTCAATTTGACCAGATAACTTATGAAAAGAATGCCTAGTCGATCCTCAACCTCTTGCATCGAATGATGATATGTTCCCGTTTTCGCACGTATAAATTTCAAAATCCTCTTACCACCCATTCATACAGACGCGTTAGAAGGTCCGATGGTTCGATCTAATCTTTTTGCGCTTTTGCGTGATCGATGTGTAGGAAGATATTGACAACGTGTTTAACATTGGCCTCTTCTTTCAAAGTAGATAAGTGCTGCCTTGAAGACGAGTGTGTTAAGTACAATTCCTGATTAAAATTCATGAGCTGACTATATCACAATCCAGATAAAAAGCTTTATACATCGATACAGCACAACTGGATGGATATAAAAGGAGCAAATTGAGTGAGTCTTTCTCTCTGTGTTCTCCTTCGATGTCAGTAGCCACAAGTATCCTCTCATGTGTTGTAATGGAGTGGGGTTCACAACATTGTTAACGTGATCCTGACTTTCTACTGGCGCCAGATGACCGGCTATCGCAGGGGTGACTTTGCATCCTTGTGGAATCCTTCCTCACCTTGTGTACCGTAGGCAGAGCGGGTTGCACTCTTCTTGGCGGTACAAGTCGAAGCATAAAATGACCGTGGTAATTGTTGGGTTGGGTACGATCAAGTAGAAAATCTTCACTCAATCGCGTTCTATTTATTACTGGCTCTTATTAATGAACCATGATCTACCTTGAGATATTCTTGTCCAAAATTTGATACTTGGACCAAGTTGATTCTGCCCGCTTGGGCCGTCCATCCATCTTTTACCTGATCAACTTGTAATTTACTGCTTTCGATGGCAGTCGGTGTTTTGCCCGGAGAACTCTTGCTCTTCTTGACCTGACAATTCTGGGGAATACCAGTTCAAAGATGTGTAGTCGAAGCCTTAGAATCGTTAAAAGGCAAAATATATTCATCCCGGTAGAAAAGTAGACTTGTGTCTTTCAAGTATATTGCGTTCTGTTCATGATAACCGACCAAAGACCGAAATTGCGACTATTACCATTCCTTTTGTCAGGAGAAACTAGCACTTGTCGCCTGTTCGATAAGTTTTGACCTATCATTTAATAGGCAGTTCACGACCGCCACGCTTCGCCCGTGATGTAAAAATTGCTATCTCATTACTCCAGGTGTTCTACCCTGGATCTCACCAATCTGTCGCGATGGCTTGACCGTACTACTTTGATTGCACTAATCTGTCGCGGTACCTTGATCACGGTACCTTTATTTTCTGTACCTTGATCGCGATGCTTTACTCTCACTGCCTCTATCGTGGTGTCTATTTTACGATGCCGTGATTGCACAGATCATATATTTCCATCTTTTCGTGGAACATAGTAGGACCTATATATATTTATGCCGATCTATGTTCATCATCAACCTTTGTAACGAAGTAGCTTCTAATCGCGGCCTATTGCCATTCTTGCTAGCGATCTCAAAGCTGCATGGTCATCGTTTTTTTATTCCATTTATGGCAATGCAATTCATAAGAACTTATTTATTAAGGGGTTCTGTCCAACAAGTCATATAACGGTGGTGGAAACCGTCAACCCTATGTCCACCTCCATCCAATCGATTTTGTTCTGCGTTTATACAAAGACGCTATCCGAGTGTCCCATTTCTAGATCTGCTATACCATAATCTTTTCTTGCACCGGTAGCTGACATATAATGTCAGCGGGGTCGTGCATCAATCCGACACCACTTTGTCTCAGTATCCTTCCCCATACACGAATCCATTGGCTTCTTTCTCCCCATCACTCCGTGGGATCCCACAATGTTAACCGCAGCCGACAATGGACCGCCCCATCTTCCTCGCCTACATGATCACCGACGTCCGTTGTCCTCACTACAACTTCATTAAGCACCTCGACTGTTGCTCTATGTAGGTTATCGACCCAGAAATTTTATTCGTCCGTGTCGAAAAATCTACTTTTAGCGCGGAGTCGATCTCGTCTCCAAAATTTGCAGTTACGTGTGGGTAATGATCTTGATATCGAAAGCCAACACTATTGACGAGCAACGGATGAAATTTCTGTCAATCACAGATAACATAATCCTTGCTATTCGGAACACGCTTTCAGAGGCGGCACGCTAGTGCAGGAACTCCAACAACTGTATACATCGGCTTCAACGTATGTCTTGTTCGTGCAAGTCGCATACAATCGATGAAGTCCAAAATTAACGAGGTGATAGCGCAATCTGTAGAGCTCAAAGATAGCTTAGGTAATTGCCTCTATCCGGCAAATTTCATCGCGATCTTGGGGGAAATCTTCTTCCAGCAATGTGATAGCGTCACGCTGTCGAAAGGGGGTTTAATCTTGCGATTGCGCCATTACGACAGCAATTGAACGCTGTGGTGGACTGGATGAACGCTTCTCTAGCTAATGATAAAGAGTGATAAGCTTCATCAGTGTGGAGAAGCGCAGAAGAATAATTTTGTAAAGTGTGGATCGCGCCTACCGCATCAAGTGCGAGATTGATTTGATTGGTGGAGTGCGCCTGGAGATAGGTCCGTTGGCACGAAGGATGGGATCACACGACTGATTGACAGGAAATGACTGTGGTAATTATGCAGATTGATCTACCTAACGGTAATAAAGGAGTATAGTCAAGGATCTATGACTGGCCGATCACGATCCGCGATCAAGGGCTTGGATCACCAAGGTACAAGGACCGGATCGTTCAAGGGGTGAACATCAACTGGAATACTGGATCGCTAATGACAATGAAAAATATGCGAATATGGAAGCAAGCTGATGGAGTGGATCGTCAAGATCATCGAACATGCGAGGTCTCATAAGTAACGGCGATCCGACGGTTGATGCCCGATCAGAGACTCGAGAGATTGATCAAGATCCACCCTGAATGTGTAATGCTTGACTGTATGGACACATACCGCGATCCACTACCCAAACGATCCACCCCGAGCGATCCACTATCCGAGCGATCCACCACCTAGCGATCCATCACCTAGCGATCCGATACTGAGTATTTGCTGTGGACCACATGATGCATGAGGTGAGTCACATAGACAGGCGATACGCAACAGTGATCTAGCGAAAAGATAGGCATAGTCATAGGTTATGGATTTGGTTGATTGACAACAAACAGAATTGAATTTGTAACGAAAGACACGCGTCGATTCCTCCCGAGCCGATAATTTGGCCTCCCGTTGAATAGAGAGTCACCCGCGTCTTTACAAACTTCGCCTTTGGATTGTTTGGCCAGGTGAAACATCAGTTCTCACCCCGCCTCCCAGCTGCGATCGGACGCGGGGAACCTAACGGTTCAGATTCAAGATCGCGAGACGGCTCAATTGGTCAGAAGGCTAGCGGATCAAGCATCACCAGTGGATACAGGCGACTCTGGGAGAGTGCTCAAGTGTACTTGCGATCGAGTGAAGAATTAACACTCGATCCACCCCACGTTTGACCGGGTGAAGAATTCCACCCGATCAACCCCTATCCCCAAAACGGTCAAGTTCAGCTTCAACTTAACTCCACCAAGAATACCGCAACCCGCCCCATCGACGGGTACACAAGGTAAGCAAGAAGACACAGAGCACGGAATTGGGGTACCCCCTCCGTTAGTCGGTCGCCCGGGCGCCAATGAAGAGTCGGTATCACAAGGAATTTGTGATCACTATTCAACCACATCAGACTGGAGCTAAGAAATTCAGGTACAAGAGGTGGTGCTCATACATTGAAAGTAGTATCTGTCACAGACAGGATTGCTTTGACGCGATACTAGTGGAGCACGGACATTTCGGGGACGGTCTTGCAAGTGGCAACGCCGCCTTTGGTCGGATGCATAGTATAATATTCGACTATGAAGCGCTTATTGTTCAGCTTCGGTTCAGGGCTCCAAATCGAGCTATGAGCGCGTTCGTGTGGTCCATGATCACGACTCTACACGATATCGTGTTGCATTCTTCGCGACCTTATGCTCTTCCTATGTGCCCTTTCTTTCTCTGTGAGTTCGGTTTTTTATGGACTGTTACAGCGTAAGAACTCCTCGCCGGGCTCGTCGGGTACCCCCACGCGATCTCAGCTACTCCTTATCACAATCCATCGTTTTCTACATTGACGCTAAGAAAAAAATATAGACATCTACTCCTCATGCGCCTTGTTTATTAGCAATGTATCCGTCCATCTAAAAGATGGTGCTATTTATGTGATTCCCTCATCTAGTTTAACTTCCTGTTGTCGTGTCGCCCATCTTATTGCGCAGTCCCGAGCAGCCTCACCTCCAGCAACGATCGTGGTAGATACGCCCAGCACCTATTCAAATGGACCTTCCACATTGATCGCCTCATCTCGCCACGCCAGGTTCAAGGTATCCAATTTCGATCTATTCGGCAAATTATCCAGTATCTTCGATGATGCGATCAGGGCTTTCCATTCGTACGCGATTTGGCCATCGGTAAACTCATTGCTTTTGCCTGATAGTTACTACGGTCTTTCTGGATACGGTACCACGCGCTCAGTGATTTACCATCTTCCGTAATCGCAAATCATGATCTTCTGCTCCAGATACACTTTCAGACTTCCGCCAGGTGATCTCGATGGCCGTAGAGGAGCCTGGTTTATATTCCTCTATTGCCATCTCTAATAGGGAACCGATCGCTACGTACTAGAATATCAGTAAGGAGTCACTCTCACTGACAGCAGTGAAGGCCAGTGCTTTGCTAGGTATATGCACTATACATAGGAAGGATAAACGACTAAGACAAAGAATCTAGTTGTAGCAAACGTTAAACTGTCATTTAATATAAAAAACTCCCATATCTCTTGTTCTCTGTTTTGGCCTGACTCAATTATGTTAATATAACTAAACGTATGATGCCGTCTACTCACCACCCATTGCGTGCGTCTAGCAGCAATTGGTGGTTTGATATAAACACAATATCAATCAATGAGTAGATCATTGGGTCATCCCAACAATATCACTGAATTTAGTGATAGTGTCAAAAGAATATTGAACATTTTATTTTTTATTGCCGTTTCTCACAATGGTAATATCATGCAACGGGCTATGTAACGGGGCACGCCTTGTGTCAATTCGACACAAGGTTATGTGCACCCGGCGTCACGTACACGTGTCGAGGAAGCGCAGCGAAGTAGGCAGAACTCAAAATCTGTGTCTAAGGGAAAAAGTAGAATTGTATTTAATATAGTTAAGCTTCTTAATAAATCATCTTTTGTCTTAATCTAACTATATCAAACTACAATTTACTATGTGTGTCTCTTGCTCACCACCCATTGTGCGCGTCCAGCAGCGATTGGTGGTAAATTTGGTTGATGTAGATGTTACATCAATCAAGAAGTGGAGCACCCCACGACTATTACCCTTGGGGGTAATATTCCGACAATCTCACCTCTTCTTGAGTGATGTTGATTGAATATTATCAAAATAGATAATACTCAAAAATTGATACTTTCTATCAACTATTATGTAACGAGATCACCCCGTTACAGGCTTACCCTTTGCAGGCTGTTAACCTAGCACTTTCCGCTTGTATTTGTAAGAGTGTAGTAGTGCACTTGGTGCAAAGTAGGTGGAAGCAAAAGTGAATTTATTGTGTTGAGAACTTGCTTCCTACAACACTATGAAATGTATGACCCGAGACGAAAACTACAACTTTACCATGTCAAATCTCATGTGGTGACCGTCTCTCCCTGTCCCATGTGACATCCTGTCACATGGTACCCGTCTCTCCCAACCCCCATCCGTCACTCTGTCACATCATCATCCAATCAGGTGAGGTCGCACTTACCTGCACCAGGTCTTGCACTTGGCCTGCACAACCTTCCTGACTTGTCAGAAAGAGTATATTCTAACAGTATTGACACAGAACAAGCTACCTACACTGACATCGTGTAGACTGGTGCCTCGAATTGCCACGTGCACTGTACGTGCAGCGGTAGGCTTAGTATCCAAAACGAACACGCTTGGAATAAGGAAAAGTAGTGCTGTTTTGAATATGGTTTAGTTTCCGAATACAACCTCTTTTGTTCTTACTTCAACTATCATCAATTACTAAGGTGAGATGTACCTACTCGCTCAGCATACCATTGCACGCGTCTAGCAGCGATTAGTGGTGAAGTCGGTTGACATACTGGCTGATGTCAACTTTAGGTGGAGCGGGTCTAAATATATTATCTCGAAGGCGTTATTCCATCAACGCTTACTTGATTCGGTATAAATCGATATTTTTATATACGAAGGTAGTTTTCCAATTGACTCATCTGAACCAACGACATGTAACGGGCTCACCCCGTTGTAAACGGGGTATAGCAATATAATCATTAAAATAGGAGACAATCAAGATGCATCAAATAATAAAAAAGAAGAAGTACAGCAAAAGATGGGAAATATATAAATATTGCATCAGATAATCAAAGAACGCACCGCAATATGGAGAAATGATACACCAATCATACTTACGCTCGACTACACACATGTCAGGGAACATTTATTGCATCCACGTACATCGTCTGTATTCCCTCACTTATCGCTAAATGTCGAACCTTCTCATCTGTATCCGTCTATAGTCATTTTACAAGAAGGAAAAGATGCGTTGACGCTTTAGCATAATCTGACAGTGTTGGTTATCACTCGAGTGTAAGGGCCCGTGTCTCTATCTCTTTTATCCAGATCTTATTATCAAAATTGTAAACATATGTCGCTTTGGTAGTCTTGGCGAATTTTTATCGAATGACACAGCGCAGTGTCAGTGTTGCGTACACGATGATGTAAACGATGGTTTAAAATCGACTCAAGGCAGCATAAGACGACGGGTACCGAAGGCAGCAAGAGCGGACATTTTACTGGAGATTTGACAGGAACTTGTTGGTGCTGTCGCAGGAGATCGTGCGGATGCTTGCGGACACGCAAAGCGCAACGCAAGATGATAGACCGCGCAATGCTGGTAGAGTGTTATGGTCGTAAAAAAGAATCTGCTACTGGTGGTAGCAATGTTGGTGATGATTCAATTATTGCAGTGTGGATGCTGAAATTTTGGTGCAGCATTGCTATATACAGCGGAGAACATGACGCACACAAACGTAGGTACATCGGTCCTCGTGGTCCGCATCGAGCATGTAGCCCAGTATAACAAAGCTTCGTCATGCTACATTCATCACACACTCGGTCTCAATGCGCTGACAACAATACACTGGTGCGTCGTTAACTTACTTATAATGAGCTGGAACTGAACGCTCATATACGTCTGCACTCAATAAATTCGAATGAGCGGATATTCCTTGCGGTGTTCAAACACTTCGTACTTCCGCTTTAGTTGTATTGGTACGCGCTTGGTTGAACCTATGATTGGCGCGGTCTTGTATCGACGTGAGGTACGACTCAACTAGGCAGACGTATCGAAGAAGTCGAGAAACAGTTGAAGCAATGAAGACGCAAATCTGATTTTTCACTGGTCTGTCGATCTATCATGACGCCAAACGTCTACGACTTGCGCATGAGCCGTCATGACGTCAATAGCAGTAGACTCTTTCTTGTAAAATTGTTATCAAATGGGGGGCCACATGAGAAGGTCACACGGCTAGGTTGAGAACTAGCTTTCGTCTGCAACGTAGTTTAGAACTGACGTTCATTACCGATGTTGCACAGATCCTGCTTTTGTACAACATGTACTCGCTCTCGCCTCCCACAGCGTGTAACATCATCCTACCACCGGACTCCATAGTCAACCTTCCTTACCATGATGGGACCTCACATTCCACTGGCATGCATCGGAGACTAGCACAGTGTGCGACAGGAACGCGCCCTTCAACTCACGGGTTCGTTGATGGTCAAACTCTCGAACCAACGGAAACCTTTTTACAACAAACACGTCATTCAATCAGGCCTCGCTCCGAGTTCCGTGCCATCGCTGAGCCGGCTTTAGCTTCTGGCAAACCTTTGGCAGGGCATTTGTCACATCAGTGGGGCATTTGTGCATTTCAGAGCAGAAGGAGGGGCACTCGGTCATTCAATGAGGAATTTACACAAAGGGACGCCTGATTGTCGTGTCTTGTATCTTACTCGCTTTCATGGAGCACAAGAGTCGAGATTCCGATAGCTTTTGTTCTGATCAGCGGCACTGTAGCACGCATATGCGCTGTCTCCTATCAAGAGACCTTTGAGGAAAAGAGAGGTAGCTGTGTTGCATCTCTGGCAAATTCGAATTCCAGCAAGTGCATATTTTGTTATTCATGTACGAGCATTTTTTATTTCATATGATTGTAAAACGGTCTAACGATCAGCGTACGTTCAAAGCTGGACCCCGGCTTATCTGTGTCATTCAGATTATAAAACGATTTATGCAACGCACAGATCGGTGCATATTTTGTCAAAACAACTCGAGCACGTTTCCTTGGATCGTTTACTGTAACTGACCACATCCGCAACAGAGCGGTCAGTACTGCGACACGCTGCTCTTTACAAGTTCCTGCATCACATAACCTGCCTCGTTCCAGCAACCTCTAGCTCGTACTGCATCGTGTCCACAACTACTGCACCAGATCCCTTTGTCGAGCATCAATGACCAAACAGCCCTGACCCGCGAGAAGCTCGATCTGCAAAGTGCACGAGAAGTAGCCTCTCACACGCTGCCAACAAACACCTTACTTTCTACGGGGCTAGACCTCGACCAAACTGTGTTTTGCTGTTCGTTATCGGCGCCACGCCATGCCGACGACTTCAACCACCTTGCGCCTTGCTTGTACGTTACCACAGGTCTGGTTTCCTTTCTGCCGCATAGAAAGCCGTTCCGCTGTGATCCGACCAGCACGATGGGCAGAGCTCAGCAGCACTGTTTGGACCACCGATGCGCCATTCCCTCTTGAAAGTCATACTTGTCCCATACCGTCACAATCGGGAAAACAAGCTGTCGTTTCGCGGGCTAGGGCTAGCTCCATCGTCAGCGTGCCCACACTCGCACGTCTATACACACCCGACTGACTACTGTATACACACACACACACGTCTCTACAGTTCGCAGGCCGCATACAAAAATGCACAGTACCATACGTAGAAACCGCGTCACTCGCAGCGTACCGGACGTCTGTGCCTCGTCGCTGCCTCCACGAGCGCCCATGAAGGCCTTCCTCGTCCTCGCGTTCGCCACGACCCGTCTCCTCGTCCTCACGCACGCAGCCGCGAGTTGCTCCGACTGCAGCGGCGAGCCGTGTATACTTGACGGCACGTCGACGTCGGTAACCGGTGGCGCGACGTCGCTCGTCGTACAAATGTGCAACTCCGACCGCACAACAATCGAGTCGGGGGCTATAGCAGTCGCCTTGCGCTTGGGGCTGTCCGCGCGTGCGAGCTGCGACACGAGCGATGCGACACTTCCGACCGTCGCGTCGCTCGTTGCAGCCGACGGTTGTACGCCGGTCAATTGCGCCGTCACGATTCACTTTGCGTCGGCTCTGGACTGGGCAACTGCACGACCGAAAGCCGACGGCCAGCGGAACACGTTGACCGCGCAGGTCCTCACGGGCCGCAACACGGACGTCGTGACGATCGCAACGCTCGACCCACTGGCGCCAGCAGTCGTCAATGGCGGCGCCACAGAGGTCTCCGTGTGCGCGCGGGCGCTGGACGTCAGTGGCTCGAGGTTCTCGCGCGTTGGCGAGTGCAACGTCGTCCAGATGTGCCGAGGGACGACGACGACGACGACGGCGACGACGGGCAGTTTGGGTTGTGCGACCGAGTGGAGACACACGGACGCCCGGGTGCACGACGTCCAGTGCACGGGCGAAGCGTGTACGGGCACAGTCAAGTGGACTCGGCCCTTACCGTGTGACGGTAGCGTCGGCGAGGCGACGTCGCTGCTCCTCAGTGTGACTGTCGCCAGTCCGAGCTCCGAGTCGTCGCCTCTGGCAAGTGTTGGCAACATGATTGCGCCGACGTTCAACATCTCTAGCGTCAGTGGCCTGGACGCTGGGAGCGCTGACGTGGTGCTAACGACCGACACGTTTTGTGCCGACACGGGCCGCTCGCTCATTGCGTCAGTTGCAACTGCCAGTGACGACGACTCGGAGGACGCAGAGATTGGTGTACGCAGTGTGAATGCAACGACAAATGGCACGGTGCTTGTCCAACTGACGGCGCCGTTGAGCAGCACCTTTGTGAACGACAATGTGGAGCTCTCGCTCTCGCAGTGCGGCGTGTCGACGTTGGGGTCGTTTCCGGTTGGAAAAAGTGTGGTCAACTTTGCTGCCGTGTCGACCGGATCGATGGCCGATGTCAGCGAAAGTGGCGCAGCAGGAACACGTTCGACTGGCCTTGTCTCGACGCAGGAGATGAACGCCTCGGCTGGCCTTTCCAATAGCATCATTGTCGCTGCCGTGATCGGTGCCGTGGCCATCGCAGGCTTTGTATTCGAGTATATCTATCACAAGAGACGGCAACCGACGGCGTTGGTACAGGAGTCAGCGGTCGCAACGCCCGAGTGAAAACCGACGTCTGCTTCATACAGAGGGGGGGGGAGGCTACGGATCGATCGACCATATGTGTCAGCTAAGGAGGCAAGTAATAAAGATCCATGGCTGTTGTTTCACCATTCTCGTTCAGTGGTGTCTGTCTGTGGCGCTAGAGCTGACAAATTGCGCGTGTTTGCTTTGAGCGCATCGTGACGAGCTGTTTTCTTGAAAGTAAAGCGTTTCAGTGCCGATTAATGGAGACAATGTGGCATCTGGTGGAATTTGTTTCTTCAAGTCGACTTGCATTGGCATGCTAGTCTTTGCAATCCCACCACCTCGCATAGTGGTTGCAGGCTACAGTTCATGCAGATTGATGAACATCAACCGTATTGCGAAAAACGTGGCCACAGTCACTTGTCTCGAGCAGAATAGACGCAAGCAGTGAGGTACAAGAACTGTTTTGCGAGCGTAGTTTGTTATCCGAGGAGCTTCTGAGATTCCAACCACAACATTGGGTCTATCGTCTCTATCGGGTGAAGGTAAAATCAAGTCACTGCGGACATCGTAGCCGTCGAATGGCACCGTTCGCAAGTCCAGCTGTTGTCTCTCGAGTAATTCTTAGAGTACCAATTTCCCAAAGAGTAGCTGATACTTCTTGGTTACTCTCGGATCGGTCGAAGCTGTAGCGGCCGTACCTGCGACAAACGTGCGTCCACAACCAACTTGAGCTCGATCGACCAAGTCAAACAACAAAGCCCTCAGAGAGCTGGGTATGGAGTCCAGCGTACCGGTAGTTGTCAATCATCGTAAAGTACAAGACAGATGAGTCATAGCAGCTTGCAAAACGTCCTATCCATCTTGCTTTCGCCGGCCTCAACTAAACGCTGCCAAACCATTCGCGATCGTCGTGCTATTTTCGGCACATCAACGCACGTCAAATAAGTTTTGCGTGCGTGAGCGAGAGTGCTTTGTAAGAAACTTAGAGCAGCACTTGGGCCTGTCAAATAAGTTTTGCGTGCGTGAGCGAGAGTGCTTTGCAAGAAACTTAGAGCAGCACTTGGGCCTGTCAAATAAAGGCTCAAGATGTCGTCGATTACAAATGTCTGAGGAAGCCGTGACCAGATGGAAAGTCGAAAACAGTCATCGTCCGCCGCATCCATTGCTTTCGGCCGGTACAGTACGCGAAAATGGCCAGCAGTCTTGTGAGGTTCTTGCCCTGCAGGTTCAATACCGTGGCAAGGACTGCCACGCATAAACTGGAAGCCCCAGTAATCGTGAAAGCGCGTTGAGCCTTTGAACAGCTTACTCTATTGCTGCCTCGCCATAAAATGTCGGCATTGGTAAGATTTGCGCGTAGCCCAGCTGATGTTGTACTTTACATTCGCGTGCTTCGGGAATGTCCAAACAATCTTGGCGATTTGTGTGCGCGTCTGGTTCTTCGCCATTTTCGTAGAGGCCAACTTCAATGTGCAGGGTTTCTTTTGAGCGACCAGTGATTGAAACGTGAATCAGTTATCGACTGAACCTGTTGCAGCAGAGCATGAGCTTTCGGAATTCGGCTCGTTAACTCCTGCATACACCTTGTCCGAGCTGCGTGTTAGATAAGCAAGTGCAGTGTATGAACTCGGCAACAGTCCTGAGCATCGATCCAACACACTGAGAATTTACGAGCTCCAATCTGTTTGTGAGAACGTATGAAGATCAAACGAGAAATCCTGAACGACCATTCGCAGGGGCTCAACCTCGATTGACCAAAGTGAATGCCGTTAGACTTGCAAATCCGTCACAAAGTAGACTTGGTCAAACAATTGCCCACATGTTTTGTCCCAGTACAACGAATGCAATCGTACTTCGTCAACCGCTTCGACAGGCAGGCCTGATGTTGCATTCGTGCCTGCAAGAGCTAACACGACACCCCACTATCGGTCGACCTTTTCAGTCCTTTCGTCGTGACTGCCCTTTGTGCGAGGCGAACCAAAGCTGACAAAGCGACAGCAACCACACAGCAACCGTTACGGAGCCGGGGCCAGTTTTCGTATACTGATTTGCTCCATGCCCAAGTGCATCGGGTGCTAACGAACCGAAACAAAACCTGGCTGGTGGAGCCATGTTTTTTATAACGGACGGTGTCTGGTTGTAGCAGCATGCAGGAGGAGTACGACGCGTCAGTCTCTTTGTGAACGAACCGTGTTGCATACCAACGCTTCAGCTGACTTCTGACGGACTACCACTAGTATCGTTTCCGACAGCTCGTGGGCTGCTTCTGAGCATGGCCGCGATGACCTCGACTTAGCAATGCGTCAAATGATTCAACCGGCTGGATGCTGGTTGAATCACTCACTTTGTGTGCAGAACAAACCCCACATATCCCATTCAAGCTGAGTCGTCGCATACCAAGCTCGATCACTTCTGGACTATAGTGCGTCTGTGACTGCTAAGGGAAACAAGAGGATGGTCGCATGTACACCGTCGAATTACTGCACTTCAATTTGCTCGACAATTCATCAATCACAGCGTTACGTATTCGCATCAAAAGCGACAGCTTATCTCCATGACAACAATGCACGTACGGCACGAAACGATGTCACGTTGGCTGTGCATTCAGGTCTTCTGACCAATCTTGCGCATGTGACGAATTTTCAGCGATCGTGTCATAGCCAAGTCCTTCTTCAGTGCAAAGCGCTTCGCCGCTGTAACAGCGAAATCGTCCAGCTGCTGCTCCAGTTTTTGGATTTTAGCGTTCAGCTCAGCTAGGACTTCGTCGGCGGCGGACGAAGCCATTGTTTCAGCCGCGCCTTCAGTAGGTGTAGGTGTAGGAGGTGGCTTGAACGATGATTTGTCAGTGCCTGGAGTTGCTGGGATCAGTGGCCGCGACGATGACGTTGACGAATCGACACAACGTCGCTTTGGCTCAAGCGTGTTCGGTGTACTTGCGACTGCAGGTTGGTCAACCATTCCTTCGGCGTTCTGGTTGACACAGCTCGAGCTTTTTGCACCATTGACAGAGCGAAGTGTCTCCTGACCAACGACAAGCGGCGGAACGTCGGAAGGAAGCCTGCTACGCAGGTACTTCAATACGGCTTCGGTGCCGCTGTTCAGAATGTGAGCCCGAATTCCGCGCTGTGGATTACCAGCAAGGTAGAGGGCGCGAAGGTTCTCGCAAAGTGCAAGCTCTGCAGGAATCTATTCAACAGATAAGCGCACGTGATGTTAACATTCGTAGAACCAAAAGCAACTGAGAATTTTCGTACCTGGCGCAGCTCGTTATTTTCCAAAGAGAGCGACGTCAACTTCGGCACTTGGTAAACAGTCCCGCACGACTCCAACTGCACGAGTCACGCAACAGCATGATTTAGCATGACTATGGCATTGCAGACCGCTACTTTGGCACATTACTTACACGATTGTCAGCAACGCTTAGCACAGACAGCTGGTGCATTGTGGACCATGGAAACCCATCTAACACTCGCAGACGGTTGAATGAGAGAACGAGGGTGTCGATAGATTTCAACTCCTGCAGGTTTTGCGGAATATCTGTCAACAAATTGTTGCGGAGGTCCAGCTCTGTAAGAGACACGGATTTACCATGAGTACCCGAGGCTAGCATAGCATTCACAACATCTGTTGTCAGCGAGTTTTTGCTGAGTCGCAAGTGTTTCAGACTCGGCAGCACCGCGATAGAAGGATGAACTGACTTCAATCCACATTGCACCGCAGTGAGCGTATGAAGGGACGTCAGATCACCGATTGCTGCAGGAAGCTCCTGCAGCCAGTTCTTGGAAAGATCGAGCTGGTGCAGAGATTTCCCAAAATGATACTTTCCCGTGGCGTGAAGTTGTCTGGGCAGGTGCTGGAGGTTCATGTCAACGAGCTGTAAACTACCCGATGCGGCAGCGTCGCGAAATCGATATTCGTCTTCTTGAGGTGCTTCCTCAGGCATGGGTTCATCTAGCTTTGTTTCTCTTTGTCGTATTGTAAACTCGTCCACCTCCTCCTCAAACGCATCGACTCCTATCGGCGGTCCACCGCGAGTGCGCAAGTACTTTTTGAGCGGCTCAGTACCTGATGAAATGACGGATCTTCGAATCGAGCGCAGAGGGTTTCCCTCAACGAGCAGATGATCGAGGTGCTTCAAATAGCCTAATCCTGCTGGCAAATCGTGCAGATCGTTATTGCTGACGTCCAGTGTCTTCAGCTTGTATAACTGAGGAATTCTGTCCGACAACCGTTGTAGTTTGTTGTCACGCACATCGAGTACCGTGAGCGACTCCATCACACTCAAGACAACATGCCCTGGAATCTCGTGCAGCATGTTGAAACCCAGAAAAAGCTGATCTAAGCACGCATTGTTCTCCGGAAGCGTCGGAAACAATGTCAGTTTGTTCTGACGCAGATCGATATACTTGACCGATGCCAGCTTGCAAAAAGCGTCATGCGTAGTGACCAAACAATTCTTCTTCAGATCTAACGTCAGCAGATTCGTGAGCTCACCAAACGATAACGGCAGCTCCGTAATTTGGTTTGCGTATGCCGAGAACGTTTTCAGACTTTGAAGACGACCAATTGTCGAAGGTAACATCGTCAAACAATTGTTCTCCACCCGTAACACCTCCAAGTGAACCAAATCACCAAGAGCATCGGGCAACTGCGTCAGTTTGTTCCCTTCCAGCCCTAGCTCTCTCAGGTTGTGCAACTTGCCCAATTCTTCCGGCAAGCATCCGTCCAATTCATTGCTGACCAAATGCAAAACATATGTAGACCGTGTTAGTTGTTGACCACCAATTTCAACACGAATCGGCAGCGTCCTACTTGCTAAGATCGAGGAGCGTAAGTGTTCCCACTTGCCACATCGCTAATGGCACTTGTCGCAAGTGATTGTGGCGCATCTTGAAGTTCATGAGGTACTTGAGCGTCTCTACTTGACTCGGGATCTCTGCAATGTCATTGTAGCTGTCATAGAGCACACACTGGTAAAGCTGATCAAACTGTCAAAAATGCAAAAAAAAGTGTCGATCACCTCAGGTCCAATTTACGGAGAACGGCGCACTCCCAACTGCGTTCGTCGTCGTCCAATTGCTCGTAGAGGCGGAACACTTCGTCAGGGAAAGATACCAAGTCGCGCGAAGACAAGTTTAGACTTCCAGATTGACGTGCCATACGCAAGGTGCGAGCTATTGCGGTGCCTGGAGCAGCAGCAGCAGCCGCGGCAGGAGACGCCATGGAGCGTCTCTTCGCGGCAAATTTCGACGTCATTTTTGACAATAGCGCTGTTTTGCTTTCTGAATTTGTTTTGGTCTGACCAAATCGAATCAAATCTCATCAGCCAATGACTGCTTCAGTGTGGACGTACCGGACCAAACACGACACCAATGAATTGTCAGTTTCTCCGTGTCCACAACTCTTCTGATTGGTAATAAAGTAGCAGGACGCAAATAACTTTGGGAGCACAATCTTGATACTCCCCATGACACTTTTTTTCACAGCGCTATCTGACGTCGCCATTCGATGACGCAACAACAAATTTGCTTCGTTCTTGCAGCCATTGCAATAGCTCTCAATGTGTCTTCTTCACCAGTGTGATTGTTAGCAACTTGAGGTGCACCAACCGATCCTGCCGAGTTGCTGTGCGCGTCCTTCCCATTCTCACTCATCCATTCGTATGTGCGAGTGAAAGTCTTGTAGTCACGAACAGCTCAGGCAGTGCTGCTTGCGTCTTGGAGAAAGACACCAACGTGAACTTTCGCGCGATACCCGATAATAAAATCGACGATGCACAACTATGAGGCATTCAGCGGTGGATGTGATTTCACCAGCACATGCGATCTACTGGTCCATCTGTCGCACTGGCCAGGTCTTACTGATGCGCGCTGTACCATTGTTATGGCATCGAGAGCGTCAGCGTCGAGCTGCTTTCCAATCGAGTAACGGAGCTCGGAAGGTCGGTAGGTTGAAGTACACTAGCCTTTTTCTGCTTCCACCCATCCGGCACCGTTTTCTTGAGCTCCTGACCAATCATTGTTCGTCTTCGTGAGTGGTGCGTACGTCACGACACAATTGAGACCTTGTTCTGTCTGCATTGCAGTGCCCCCCCCTCCTGTGCCGACGATGAGCGCATTCCGGTCCAAGTTTCTGTACCCTGCTAAAGTCAACTGGTTTCCAGGTCACATGGCGCTTGCTAGGCGTCAAATGGTGGCTCAAATGGACGCAGTCGACGTGCTGATTGAGGTGCGCGACGCTCGCATCCCCTGGAGTTCGGCCAACCCCGTCCTAGAAGAAGCTTTTGGTCAGTCTAAGCCTCGTCTGGTCGTGTTCAACAAGAGCGACCTGGCAAACTCGAATATGCAGCAGCGAGTGGAGAGGCAGTGCAGGTACGAGCTAGGATTGGGCACTGACTGTCTCTTCACGTCCGTGGCCAAGGGCAAACGGCTTCAGGCCATTTTGCAATGGTGCAATAAGCACAGCCAGGCCCAGTTCAAGAGCACAGCGGGATCGATGGTCATGGTGGTCGGCATTCCTAACGTGGGCAAATCCTCGCTCATCAATGAGTTCCGACGTCTTTCGAACTCCCACAAACTGGCAAAAGGTCGGAAGCGAGCCAATGTTGGACCAACGCCTGGTGTTACTGTCCGCAACGACATCATAAAGGTGCGTATGCTTCATTGGTCACGCAAATGCCAAGTTTGATGGGGTGATGACATGGTTGTTTCGTGCAGGTGAATGACAAGCCAGCGGTGTTTGTAGTGGACACGCCTGGTGTGATGTTGCCGAATATTTCATCGGCCGAGACTGGAATGAGGCTGGCGCTCACGGGAGCGATCAAAGACGAAGTTGTCGGCACCGAGTTGATTGCAGACTATATGCTCTACCAGCTGAATCAGATGCGGTCGACGCGATATGTAGACGCACTAAAGCTTCCAGGCCCGATGGACGACGTCGGCGAGCTGTTCAAGTTGGTTTATAAGCGTTGCGGCGCGTTGGGAAAGGAACCCGACGAACAAGATCGTTTAGCCGCACAATTCTTGCTGCACGAATTTCGCCGAGGAGCATTTGGCAACTTTACCCTGGACGCCATTGAGTCGCGACCTGAAGTTGTCAAAAGCGCAGCATTATCGTTATGATTTGGCGAGAGCTACCAAGAACTGCACTTCCAGTCTCGTTCCTCATCGAATGCGCACTGTGGCATCCGTCATAACCCCATCGAAACATGACAAGTCTGGCCGTGATTCGGGCGACAAACAGGGCAAGAGTTTCACAGAAGATGATGAAGGTGGGTCAGGACTGTTCGATTCGTAGTGGTGCGACTATGGCAACGTAATCATCGAGTGGCAAATTGCTTGCAGCTACTCTGCTTAGCACTCACGATGTATCGGCGTGTGGAAAGCGCGTGCGAGTAGAAAGCATATCGCGCAACTGCCATCAAAGCTCAGTCTCATTTTTCAGCCAGGACTGCGTTGACGGATAGACACCACCTGACGAATGGGTGTGTGCGTGATAAAGTGCTTCCGGGAGACGTCTCTGACAATGTTGTCAAGGAAGTGAGGAGCAGCAGCATTAGCGCATCGCACGAAGACCAATGAACGCTTTACTTTTGCTTCGCAACATCACTGAGTCACAGGACTTGAGCATCGCCTGAGTGAATCCGCTTTCATTAGTGCCGCTCCTGATTTTCGATGCAGACGTGGAGCAACGCTTCACATCGTCACGAGTTTGCAAGTGCCGCGGCTAGTGTGCTTGCTCGTGGTCTTGCTGCAACATTGCTCTCGTGAGGACTGGCATGTTGTATCAGGCATCTTAGTAAATTGCGGGACACTTCCACTGCTGGTCCGATGGTAGTCGAGCGCAACATTCAAGTGCAAATCGTTCTCTTACGGCAGTACAAGCGCAGCTGGATCGACGTGGTTGAGACATGTATGCGATGGCGGTATATTGTTCCTGTTTGTTTCTAGTCTAGAATCGTTGCGTTAATTAAACCGCTACGTGTTCCAGAAACCCAAATGCGGCTATCGTGTTACTCTCTCGATCTCGTTGTGCTGTTCTGTCGCGGAGCTGGGGTCCAGGAAGCGCTCTGACTTCGAGCGACGAAGCGTCGCACACAGAAGTACCGAACGCTGCAGATCGACGTAGGTACAGCAGCTGATTCAGCGTCTCCTGGATGACCAAGAGCTTACAGAGCTCCGAGGCTTTATGCCAATTTGTGGTGACTTGCTCTGGGCGATAGTAGCGATGAGGAATGCAGAGACCGCATGATGTCTCCACTTTTTCAATCACCTTATCGACGATGCTCGGCCAGGAAGAGCCGTATGAGAAAGGTGCGCCTAACAGTGCCCGGCTAGGCCGAAAATACAATGCCACCAAATTAGCCGGAGCGAACCATGACAGTGCTGCACCGACAAGGAGATGTCGTCCGATCTTTATCGAACTCATGCCAATACTCGAGGTTATGGACGAACATTCTGCAGCCAAGACTTTTCGTTTGTCTAAATAGCAGCACCCATTAGTCCATTATTCGCTTCAGCTTGATTAACAACACAGCCCTTCTAGTCTCGTCCACTGCTCTTGTCGTGCGTGGCTCGCACTACACGTTCGGTACCGATTATCATGAAGCCTGTAAGTGGCCTACGATCCAGACATTGCTTTCGATCGAAAAACACGATAGTGATGATTCAGCGAAGTTATGGTATGCAGCTTGAACGAACTCACGAGCACGCCGTCGCCAGGATTATCGCGATCGAATATGACACGTCGAGCGCGACTGTGTACCAACGCCATGGCGCACATAGCACACGGTTCGCAGTCAAGATACACGTCATACCCCGTGCACAAGTAAGATTCACTATGCTTCATGTCCCCCTTGTCCCCCTCGCACTGCGCGGTCTCGTCCCTCTCGTGGCTCTTCTTTTGCTTCTTTTGGTGACCCATCTCGTCCTTCATTGGACCTTCTCGTCGTCGATCACGTCCTGCAACGGCGTCAATTGCTACCATCACTGGATGATACAGCGGCTCGAACGCATACTTTACCGACATCTTGTCGCACACGTTCGACGTCGCCACGTGCTTGTCCAGAAGAGGGTCGACAACCACACACACCCACGCACAAGTCAGTGCCTTGTGTCTCTTTGCCGTCATCGTTTTTCCATCCTCCACTGCTGCTCTCAAGTGTTCCAGCATCCTGCGCATTTCCTCCTTCTCAATGGTTAGCGACGCTGCAACGTCATGGACACTGGCGTGGAAAACCAGCGGCCAGTTCTTCGAGTGTTTCTCGAAAAGGACACGACTGCGTGGTGCGTTTTTCAGCGCGTCGACGGCCGTGAGACGACCTTGAAACAGCGTCTCTAATTCCTGCACATTTGGTGAGGCCTTTGCGCAGCCAACGTCATAAGTAAACGTCGAATCTAATGGACAAACAAGTGCCACGAGCGTCTTCGAAGCTTTCGGATGCTTTTTCAGGCGCTTCAAGTGCGCGAACCCGAGCGAAGTGAGCGGCTGGAACGTCGCAGCCAGGTGCTGCATGACGTTGGACCCATAATGAGCAGGAAATTCTAGCGCTACGAATCGCTGCTGGGCTTCCGCTTGCACCAGCTCATCGCCATTTGACGCTGCGATTTCCACGAGCTCCATCGCGATTGTCTGCGTGATGAGGAAAGTAAGCGCAAAGTACCAATAGCCAATCCCAATCGCTTGGCCATGGCTACAGGTTAGCATCGCGACCACTCATACAGAAGGCAAGCTTTTCCCTACTTTTCGTCCGATCCAAACGATTTGGGCACACAGAGCGGATGAGAAAAGTCCTTCATCGATGCTATGCTGGTCGCCCTTTTCCTGTTTACATGGAAGGCCAATGTTTGGAGTCGATTTTGTCCTCGTCATTGTCGTGGCCACTAGAAAAAATTGCCCCGCCGCATCGACTTAATCGTAGCTACCAACTCTCAATCGTCTACGTGGCAGTAACGTTCATACCGTTATCGTAGCTCAAGCTATCGTGTGGCACCAGCACCAAGCCTCGTTCCATTCACGTCAACAGGACCGTGCGATCGCTCGTTGTGACGAGGTTTTGGGCAAAAAGAAGACGGCCACGAACGCCAATCATGCCGCAAGTCCCACGGGATCCAACTGTGACGAGGTAACATCAAGTGCTGCGTCACCTATAAGCTCAAACGACAGTTTTTTGTTACAACTGATGACGCCGGCACTCGCTTCCGCTGACTTCGTCACATCGACCACCGCAGCTTTGCGCTGGTCGTTCGTGACCCCAGTCTGAGCTGTGGTACGCATCTATAGGTTAGCACGCGGTCATTCTCTCGCTCGCGTTCGATGGTGCAATCAGCACTTATATCCGGCCCAACCTTTACACGTACTCTTCCATCTGCTGCTTCAACTCATGCGTCTACTCGATCATCCCTATGGGAGCTGCACTCGTGACCAAGACGTGTTTTGACGTCTTGGTTGCATAGGTTATGAGCTCAAGTGCTTCGTTCCCCCGCTTGCCGAAGGTCCATCTTCGGCCCCATATCACCAAAGTCCACGACGATTTCATGACTGCCAAACGTTTCGTCTCACTGGTCCCTTTTTCCTTGTCCAGGTGTCCTGCCTCGACGTCTCGTCGACTATGTTCGGCAAGGTTAGCAACCATCAGAGATGGACATTCATTGCCATGCCCACCTTCACCCCTAGACGAGCTCGACTTGTACACCGCAGAGACTTCAGAGCTCAATGACCAGCAATTACACCAGCTCCGCACCGACGCGCTCATTCCTACCGGTTTGCTATCGTTGTTCATGAACTTCATAGCTTGTCCTGCAACACGGCCTCCACGCCATGAATGAGCAATGTGCTGGCGTACACTATCATGATAGCAATCAACAGCCACTGGACCCGTTACGGCATCTACCAGCGTTCAGTTGACTTTCCCTTTGCTGATACTGCCATCAAGATCACTTCAGCTGCACTATGATCGATTGGCCGCGTCCATTATGCAGATTATGCGCGCAGCTTGTAATGTTCAATAGGCTATCCATCTACGCGGTATGTGGCTCCAGCGAGTGTCTAGCTTCGTGCAGACCCTCCGGAGAAAGTCTGATCTTCTCAGGCTTGAGATCCCACCAGATATTCACTCACGGACATGTCTCGATTTGTGTTTTCTGTTGCAGCAGTTATTGCGCTTGTTTTTTCCTCGCACAACGAGCTAGCATCACATGTACGCCCTCCAATTCGACTTGCCATGACTTTTATTCGCAGTCCTCAAGTACCTGTTCAATAGCTCGAGTATGTCGATCAACGAGTTGCCATGTGCGGACTTCAACATGTTCCAGAGCGGCCGTTTGCATGTCGAAAACGTCTTCAAGCGCTTCAGTATCGGCACGCGCAATGAGGATATTCGCAACCTATGCTAGTATAGCCCGTTATTCTCGAATGCACCGCTTGTTGCAGACACGGGACGATTTCACGTGCTATAAGCCATCTTCATCGATTGAAATGGCCGTCTGACGTGTTGCTAGGAAGTAAGAAAATGTTCGCTGGACAAATTTGCATCGATTCGGGTCGGCTCATATACGAGTCGATCTACACTTTCTTCTTGATGTTGCACCATGTGAAAAAGCCGTCAACGAGCAAATTTGCAATCGCTCGAACAGCTGCTCATCGACTGGTAGTTTTCCATGACAATCGAGCACATCTATTCCACCAACAGACCCAAGGCATCTGTCAAGTCCAAAAGCGCTAGTGCCTCTTTCTTTTGAGCCTTCTATCAATCCTACTCATACGGACACATGTAACTTGCCGCGATCATTCTACGAGCGCTGGTGTATCCATGCTACGCGTCATCTTGCTCAAAATCCTGTCGCTTACAGCAACGCGAGCCAAACGTGTGTTTGTTCCGCCACGTCTGTATTGGGCATTCACGCTTTTCTACAAGAAACAATGCCCAGCAGCAGGCTTAGATACTTTTTTGCCCTGTCTGCTGCACGTTGATCAAGTCGAAGCAGGAGACGACAGAGATATACGACACAGGGCATCTTCACTAGCAATGGCACCCACCAAGCACAACCGCCAACAAGCAATAAGGCATATAAGCACAAGATTGAGCAAGGAGCGCAACAGCGAATGCTCTTCGTAACGTAGCTTCTCATTGAAAGCATCCGAGTTGGTAAGCTGCTGCTGTTGATCCCTTGAATTCCGTCGGCCCTTGAACTTGTTATTGCCGCTTGTCCCACTATTTCCAGTGTCACATTGCTTGATGCGGAGTGGAAATGGATCTACGGACGTGGCCTTTGTTGTGGTCTTCTTATGCTCTAGAGACCGCACTATTGATCGAATAAGCGCTAACTGCAAGCTGCATTGACATTGATATCCAAGCTGATACAGTCTGTTGTCTCTCAAAGAGACAAAAACTAGTTAGGAGGACCTTATTGTCGAGCACGCTGCAAGCTCAAAACTACTGATTCTCTTGGTGGCTTCGATTTTTTATCTACAATAGAGCTGAGAATGTAGGCTTTCGATTTGGAAAGGCACGAGGATAACCACGACTGCAGAGTACCCCCAGCATGACCGCACTTGCGTTTCGCACATCGAGAAAGATGTTTGATCGATGAGAGTGTGCTGAATGTAAGCTGTTTGCTGCGGTAGGATGAAGGCTGACTGATTGGTTGTACAAATACGTCTCGACAAAGTTTGCGGTGAGCTCTGAGAACGGGCGTATCACGAAGATAGTGTAGACATGTATGTCGCACGATGACCGCAAAGACGGCGTGTGTATACCAAGACACCACTGCTTCGCTAAAACAAGACTATATCATACCTTCTGCTCTACTGGTGGTAGGATTGGGCAAGGCCAAGGTACAGTCAATGTATTTACTTTTTATCCTAACTGCATTCGAACAACCCCTGAACGCACGTCGCGGAACTTGATGACCATCGATGGAGTGAAAAAGTATTCCTCATTCCGTAATCAAATGTGGTTCGGGTCAGTGTCTTCTATGATCTTATTTTCCAATCGGGTCACATAATTAGCCGCTTTAGCGCCGTCGTCCAGGGAAAAGAAGGACTCCATCTTCTCCCGTCCAACAGGGTCATAATGGCCGAAAAATTCTAAGACGAAGGCTTTGTAGGCGCGAAAAATAGGATCATCTTTCGGTAAATCGACGATTGACTTATCAGGGCGACCAGGGGAACCAGGGGGTAGAAGGAGACGTTCAAGCTCATTTGGAAGCACACCGCGTTTGATCATTCGACGAAAGCGACGTGTCTGCACCGCTTCAGCAAAAATTTTCCATTCAGGATGATCCACCAGCCTGGCAAGGGCACGTGCATATACCGCCTCGTCTTTAATAGGACATTGTTCCAGAAGTCGCACCGTTTTTCTGACAGAAAACGCCTTTTTTGCCCCTGTTTTTTCGATATAGCGCGGCTACTTCGAGCGAAATGTACAATCGAAATTCCTCGGATTGAAACATCTCGAGCACAATTTCTGGGGCCATGTCCGAGAGCGGCACTTCTCTATTTCCATGAACAAGCGTATATTCTTTCTTGACAGGCTGTTCTTGACGGAAGCAAGGTAGAAACGAGCGGATATAGCCCATCAGCTTTTCGAATGCTTTCTTCGTCGGTCCAAATATGCTGTCAAGCACAGGGCCTCTCTCCTCACCAGTCCAACCCTTTGGCGCACGTATGTTGACAGCTGCATCGTTGGTCGTCGACGGTTCCTCCGTCGTGGTCGCAGTCGCTTTGGAATGAAGGGCGTCGCTCGGATCGAAGGCGGCAACATGAGTCAGGACGCCGTTCACAACGAAGAAGACCAAGAAGAGCAGGCAGTACATATGCATGCTGCGCGATCTGCGCTTGGCGAGAGATTTTGCAGAATGAGGAACGAGAGACCACCTGAATTGTAGAGACGAGAGGACCTGATTTATTCAGAACGAGACCAGGTGAATCGTTGAGGACCTGATCAGGTGACTCATTGAGGAACGCACACGAATTCTATCTCATCGGCTTTGCAAAAACCTGACAGAGATTTATGTGCGTCTGTTGACATAGTTAAGTGTACCAAGGTGACTGAAGTGAATGAGCCAGGATTTGCAATTCGGAGCCGGGACCAAAACGTGGGCTCCGAAGAAATATGAGGCGAGGGGTAAGGAGGTTCGAAAACGGACCCATCAAAGCCTAAAACAGCCTACCATTCAAGCGCTCTCATTGCGACGCTACCCTGTGCAACAGAGCAGTGACAATGCATCTAGGTAAGACGCCTGATCCGAGGGTGGCGACTGCGAACGCGGCCGACCAACCGAAGTTGCGTATCGCCGGAGCGAAGGCACAGAACATGGAAGACGCTACCTTGACGATAGACGGTCCCTGCGGTCGCGCGAGTGCCCTCCAACACTGGTATGTACGATCGCCGAAGCAATGACGCGTGGCGCGGGGGTCGCCTCACTCGCGGTGCCTTCTCCTCAGAGACCGCTGGTGCGGCCCGCCGGACTTGTAGTGCGCGACCGCCGATGCGATGAAACGGGGAACTCGGGTCGCAGTATCTGCCGCGACATGGCCGCACCCGCAACTGACGGTTGCGAGCGCAACATACTTAAGGCAGAAACACCCACCTCGGCTCCCAGAGGGAGGATTCCAGCCGA